TCCAGTGTCGTCAAGTCGATTTCTCTTAGCTTTTGTACGTAGGACATTCCCTTTACTTCCAGGACTAGTCTTGTTGCAAACCTTTGCACTTTCTCTAATTTTTTAACGTGCTTCACCGTGTGTGGGTTCCAAACTAGTGCTGCATACTCCAATATGAGCCTGATGTACACGGTGTACAGAGGTATCGAATCGCTATTCTTAATTTGCCAGGCGCCCATATGCTGCAGCAGTTATTTGGTTGATGTGCACCTCAGGAGATGTACTCGGTATTATATTCACCCCAAGATTCTTTTTCTTGAGTGAGGTTTGCAGTCTTTGGCCCCTTGACCTGTACTCTGTCTGTGGTCTTTTTTTTCCTTCCCCGATCTTCATGACTTTGCATTTAGTGGGCTTAAATTCCAGAAGCCAGTTGCCGGACCAGGCTTGCAGCCTGTCCAGATCCCTTTGTAGTCTGCCTGATCTTCATCCGATTTAATTCTCCTCATTAACTTCACATCATTTGCAAACAGAATCTATCCCTTCCGGCATGTCATTCACATATACCAGAAACAGCACCGGTCCTAGGACTGACCCCTATGGAACCCCGCTCTTCACAGGGGCCCACTCTGATACCTCGGCACGTAAAATGACTCGTTGTTGCCTCTCTGTCAGGTATTCTCTGATCCATTGCATTACCTTTCCTGTTATGCATGCCTCATTCTCTAACTTTTGTACTAATCTCTTGTGTGGAACTATGTTGAAATCCTTCTTGCAGTCCAAGAAAATGCAATCTACCCATCCCTCTCTCTCTTGTCTTACAGCTGTCACCTTATCATAGAACTCAAGGAGGTTTGTGACACAGAATTTTCCGTCCCTGAAACTGTGCTGGTTTTCGTGTATAAGCTTGTTCCTTTCTAGGTGCTCCATTACTCTCCTGATAATTTTCTTCATGACTTTGCATACTATACATGTAGTGTCACTGGTCTGTAGTTTAATGCCTCATGTCTATCACCTTTACAATGGATGTGTTGAAGAAACATCCATTGTAAAGGTGATTGTAAAGGTGATTGTTAAGGTCCTCTCTAAGGACCCATGGAGAGATTTTGTCCGGTCCCACCATCGTGTTTGAGTTATCTAATTCGCTTAGCAGCGTCTTCACTTCCTCCTAGGTTGTGTGTATTTTGTCCAGCACTTGGTGTATCCTTTGCTGGTGTACCTCACTATTCTGGCTTTCCGGAGTCCTTCCTGTCTCCATGTAAATACTTCTTTAAATCTCATGTTGTGCTCCTCACATCTCGGTCGTTTCTTGTGAACTCCCCTCCTTTCTTCTTCAACCTTATTACCTGGTTTTTGACTGTTGGTTTCCTCCTGACATGGTTATACAACAGCTTCGGGTCAGACTTTCGATGCTACGTCGTTTTTGTATTGTCGCTGGGCCTCCCTCTATATCTGTGCATATTCGTTTCTGACTCTTCGACTAATTTCTTTATTTTCTTGAGTCCCTTGTCTTCTGTATTTTTTCCATTCTCTAGCGCACTTAATTTTAGCCTCTCTGCACCTTTGGGTGAACCAAGGGCTCATTCTGGTCTTTCCATTATTTCTGTTGCCCTTGGGAACGAACTTCTCTGCCTCCTAGCATTTTGTTGTCACGAAGTCTATCATTTTGTTTACTGATTTTTCCACTGATTCTCTTTCCCACTGACCCTCATGCAATAAATTCCTCATGCCCGTGTAGTCCCCCCTTTTGTAGTTTGGCTTCTCCCGTCCTACTCCTACTTCCCTCTCCACTTGTAACTTTACTATGTATTCGAAGCTCAGAACCACGTGATCACGAGCTCCGAGGGGCCTTTCGTATGCGATGTCCTCGATGTCTGAACTGCTCAAGGTGAATGTGAGGTCCGGTTTTGCTGGTTCATCCTCTCTTCTCGCTGTGGTAGCGTCCCTAATATGTTGATGCATGAGGTTTTCAGGTACCACATCCATCATCTTGGCTCTTCATGTTTCGGGTCCCCTGTGTGGTGCCAGGTTTTCCCAGTCAATCTCCTTGTGATTGAAATCGCCCATAACTAGTAAGTTTTCCCTACCCATGTGAGCCCTTCTGACCACCTCAGCTAGTGTGTCCACCCTTGCTCTGTTGCTCTCTTCATATTTTTCTCATGGCCTCCAGCTGTTTTGTGGAAGGTTGTACAATACTGTAATTACCACCTTAGGGCCTCCAGACTGAATTATTCCTTTCGCCCATTTCTTCCATTTCCTCACATCCTCACCGGTTTTTGATTAGCAGTGCATTTCTCCTCCCTCTCTGCTCCTTTCAGCTTTCCTGTCGATCTGATATCCTGATGGAAAGGTTGCATCATTTTCATCCCCTTGAGTTTCATTTCTATGAGTGCTGTGATGTCTGGGGATGTCTCCTTGATTCTTTCAAGCCACTCCTCACATTTATTTGTTATTCTGTCCGCATTTGTGTACCAAACCTTCAACTTCCTTCCTAATAATGTGGTCTGGAGGATACATTGGGGTTGGAGAAGCGAGAGAAGTGGTGAGGTACTATGGGAGGTTGCTGTGAGGGTGGAATTTGTGGTGGGGGATGGGGGCTGTTGGTATGGCATGTGGATTTTGGGCTAGATTGTTTGGTTGCATTGGGGTTGTCGGGGTTTTGTGTTAGTGTGCTTGGTTGCAGTTAGGTTGTCGGTGTTGAGTGCCTTCTGTTGGTAGTTCTGAGGGAGGTTATATTTGCTTTTCCTCCTGAGTCTGAGCTCTCCTGCCCATCTCCATCCTTGCCTTTTTTTCCTCCTTGCATCTCTTTACCAATTCTTTCAGTTTCTGTCTTTCTTCTCGTGGTCGAGGTACACCCACCGATATGTCGATGTGTCCCTTAGTTGTACTTTCTCCTGTAGGATCCTGTTTCAAGCTGTTTCTGACTTGAAAATCACTGTGACTTGCCGGTTTCTTTCCCTTGCGAACCCCCTATTCTCAGAAAATTTGTCACATGGTCATATCCTCCTTTAATATTTCTTTCATTACACTTTCAGTCACTTTTTTCTCCCCCTGTTGTCTTGCTTTGTAAGATTCCCCTTCGACTTCTTGGAGACCATGAACGAGGACTGACCTCTCCCTTTCATCCTCCCACTGCATTTTCTTTTGTATCTGATTTGATTTAATTGCCTCAATTGCAACATTCCTTTCTTCAGTGCTTGTACACAATGGCCTGTCATTTTCCCTCCTCGGTTTTTCCTGGGCACCACTGTAGTCTGTTAGGGCCTCTGCGTATAGTGTAGCTCTCGATTCTTTCAGTCCCCTTGTTTGTTACTGGTGTGCTTCTCGTCTTTTCACGGGCTCCACGGTGGTCTGATAGGTCCTCTGGTCTGATAGATCCTCCTTTGTTTCCTTCAGTCCCCTCATTTGTTACTGATGTAGCAGTTCCTGATGTCATGCCTAAACTGATCTTTTGTTCTTTAGACTGTTTCAGCATTTTTAGTTCCTCATCTAAGTATCCTAGCCTCTGCTGTTGTGGCTTGTGTATGTGTTTGTGTGTGTGTGTGTGTGTGTGTGTGTGTGTGTGTGGTGTGTGTGTGTGTGTGTGTGTGTATGTGTGTGTGTGTGTGTGTGTGTGTATGTGTGTGTGTGTGTGTGTGTGTGCGTGTGTGTTGTGTGTGTGTGGTGTGTGTGTGTGTGTGTGTACTCACCTATCTGTGCTCACCTATATGTGGTTGCAGGGGGCGAGTTACAGCTCCTGGCTTCGCCTCTTCGTTAAGTCACTCTCTTTCCCCTCCAAGAGCCTTATCATACGTCTTCTTAAAGCTATGTATGGATCCTGCCTCCACTATTTCACTCTCCAGATAGTTTCATTTCCTGACAACTCTAAAGCTTAAGAAATACTTCTTAACATCCCTATGACTCATCTGAGTCTTCAATTTCCAATTGTGTCTCCTTGTTTCGTTGTCCCATCTCTGAAACATTTTAGCCCTATCCACCTTGTGAATTTCTCTCAGTATTTTATACGTCGTTATCATGTCGACCCTATCCTTCCTGTCCTCTAGTGTCATCAAGTTGGTTTCCCTTAACTTATTCTCATAAGACATCCCTCTTAGCTCCAGGACTAGTCTTGTTGCAAACTTTTAAACTTTCTCCAGTTTCTTGAAGTGCTTAATCGAGTGTGGTTTTCCATATTGGCGCTGCATGCTCCAATATGGGCCTGACGTACTCGGTGCACAGTGTTGTAAATGACTCCTTACGTACATGTTTAAATGCTGTTCCCAGGTTTTCCAGGCTCCCAAATGCTGCAGCAATTATTTAGTTGATGTGCGCCTCACGGAACATGCTCGGTATAATGCTCACCCCAATATCCTTTTCCTTAAGAGAGGTTTGCAGTCTTTGATCCCCTAGCCTGTACTCCGTCTGCGATCTTCTTTGTCCTTCCCTAGTATTCATGACTTTGCACTTGGTGGGGATTAATCTCCAAGAGCCATTGGTCGGACCAGGTTTGCAGCCTGTCCAGATTCCCTTGTAATCTAGCCTGATCTTCGTCTGCTTGTATTACCCTCATCAGCGAACAAGGACACCTCCGAATCTATTCCTTCCAGCATATCATTCACATATACTAGAAATAGCATAGGACCCAGGACTGACCTTGTGGAACTCCACTCTACACATGCGCCCACTCTGACACCTCATCACATACCTACACTTGTTGTTTCCTTCATGTCATTTAATCCCTGATCCATTGCAGTGCTCCTGTAGTTTTTGAACCAGTGGCTTGTGTGGTACTGTATCGAGAGCCTTCTTGCAGTCCAAAAAGATGTAATCAACTCATTCCTCTCTCTCCTGTCTTACTTCTGTTACCTTGTTGTAGAACTCAAGTAGATTTATGACACAAGATTTCCCATCCTCAAAGTCGCGCTGATTGTCATGTATGAGCCCAACCTTTATGTACTCCACCAGTCTTTTGATAATCTTCTCCATGGCATTACATGCTATAAATATCAGTGACATTTATAGTATGTAATGCCTGTCTGCCTCTTTTCTTAAAAACTGGAATTATATTTGATGTCTTTCACACCTCAGGCAGTTGCCCTTTTTCAAAAGATTTATTGAAGATTGTTGTTAGCGGCACACAGAGTTCCTCTGCTCCCTCTCTCTGGGCCCACCGACTTCGAAGTATCTAGTCCACCTAACAGTTTCTTTACCTCCTCCTTGGTTATGTGCAGTGTATCCAGCACTTGTTATTACCAATTGACCCCTGGCTGTCTTCAAGAAGGCACTGGACAGACACCTAAAGTCGATATCTGACCAGCCGGGATGTTGTTCATACGTCAGTTTGCGTGCGGCCAGCAGTAACAGCCTGGTTGATCAGACCCTGATCCACCACGAGGTCTGGTCTCAGACCGAGCCGCGGGGGCGTTGACCCCCGAAACCCTCTCCGGGTATATATATATTCCATCCTTCAACTGATATAATTTAAGTGCGATAATGTCTAACCAAGACGGGACTCGCAACAACTGATTCATGTTGGATAAATTTAGATTTAGAAATGATTTAACAAGGCACTGGGATGGCCTAAGATTTGCAGTTGAGACAAGCCAACTGCCAAGTAGCGCCATTAAAGGAAGCACTTTCAGCAGCTTCAAAAATAGGTGAGAGAGCGACATGGGTGGGTATCAGTATGATCTAAGACTCATAAACAACTACAGTAACGAGGTATTTATTACGGCTTGATAAAATCCTGGAGAGCGAAATGTAACCGCAATGTTTTGTTTGTTATTCTTGTGTCCTCTTATCTAACATTTTGTAGATGTTTTTATCAATATTTAAGGAGGACCTCCATAGCATGGTCTAGTAGGTTTAATGCAGTGTTTCTCTATTCCTATGTTTTTATTCAGATCCAGCAAAGTTGTGACCTGGGTGGTGGCGTCGCTGGTGTCTGCTGTCCTGTGTCTCCTGCTGCCATTGGTAAGTCCCTCGTACGTTATACACACCTTTTAGCGCTAAAGCGCATAAATACTTTCTTGTCTCTCCTCAAGTTAAGCATGTTTGATGTATGTTCTGTGTTTATTCATTTTAGTCCTAGAAAGTATTAAATCTATTGAGTACATACACACACACGAGGGAATAACAATCAATAAAACAAATACTGAACAATTCGTCCTCGGGCGACGTTTTTCCCACGTAGTCTTTGTGGAGACACAACCATATGGTCGTGACTTGATGAAGACCACCGAGTAGGCGAATTATTATTGTTAATGGTATGCAAAACCGAAGAGTAGATGAATAAAAGACGTTTAACACTGACGTATCTTTTGTGTGGAGACGTTTCTCCAACCAGTGGCTTTTATTAATCCAATACAGAGAATAATACTTGAGACGCTGGAAGACATGAAGTAGTTGAAGTTAATCAGTCCCTCGGTCTTGAAGAAATTGTTGAAGACGATGGAAGACGTGAAGTATTAGTTTGAGGGGATCAGTCTTCAAAGATGTTCAGTCTGTCAGTCCTGGGATATCTAGAATAGATATCCGAGGACTGAGAGTTATGTAGTGGGAAGAGGAGAGGAGGTGAAGGAACTGGTCCAGTGGCTCACGAAATCGTAATGACACGATTGCAAACAAACCATACCACGGGTGGGGTTTGAACCCGCGCTCAGAGACTCTCTGACCGCGGGGTCAAACCCCACCCGTGGTATGGTTTGGTCCAGTGGGTTAGAGCGTCGTGAATTTTCGCTCACCATGAGGCGGGCTAAAACAACACTGGTTCGATCCCCCGGCTAGCAGCAGTGATTATATGATTATATATATATATATATATATATATATATATATATATATATATATATATATATATATTATAATATATATATATACAGTATATATATATTCTTAAATTTAAAATATTTTCGGAGATTTTTTATGATAAATATAAACCTAGTGAACTTTACTTTTCATTATCGATGTTAACTTACTCTTAGATTATTCCTGTGAGTTAACTATGATGTTGTGTTTACAGGTGCTGCAGGAGCGCGTGTCACCACCAGGGGAACTTTCCCTCCTGCAAGTGTCAGTGCCAGTCTACCATCTCTGGAGTCCGCCATGACGAGGCAGTCTTTTACTGCTGGACTCAACTTTGCCAACACTATTAATCAGATCGAGCAAAACCTTATGCAGTAAGCAATTATTAGGAATGAGAATGAGAGAGAGAGAGAAAGAAAGAGAGAGAGAGAGAAGAGAGAGAGAGAGAGAGAGAGAGAGAGAGAGAGAGAGAGAGAGAGAGAGAGAGAGAGAGAGAGAATAACTTAAGTGATGTATAATTTAGTTGATTATGGTTTAATAAATGAAAACACAAGATTAAAGTTTCTCACGAATCATACACTCACAGTGTTCCATGTTCACCCAACACAGGAGCTCCATCGTCCTGCAGAGGTTCTCTCCGGCTGGTCAACATCTTCGCTTCTTCATCATTGACGATGGAGCGAGGGCAATGGATCGCAACGCCATGGCTATTATCGCCGCTTCTAGACAACTAGTAAATGAGTATGTAGGAAAAAAAAGGCTGTAAATTTTTAATAATAGGCTTAGTGAAATTTCTAAAAGAAACTCAGATTGTAATCGTAATTTTAGCCAAAACCTTTTACCTGATTTTGCCGATCCGGAGAGGTAATGTCTGCCTCATGTTGGGTTCCTAACTGGTGTGTCTGAAGAGCGCGATGAGCTTCACGACTTGAATTCGGAGTTTCCATTCTTTGCAATTATGCATGCATGTATATTCCCAATCTATTGTACTAATCAAATTGCAAACCATGTTTCATTGTATCATTCAAATTAAAGTTTTAAAACCATTTATATGAACTTTCATATAGTGGTTGGTATGGCAAGAAAATATTCAAACAGTCCTGGAAGAAATCTCTAGCATCTTTCCTGAAGTAAATTTCTCCTCTTCTGTGAGGATGAGTGACCTTGATTAGCACCAGAGGTGATAATTAATAAACAACTTTCAATGAATATACAGAAGAATACACGGGGACTCGACCCCTGGCCGTGGTACGTAGCAGGTCCAGCCCTGTACCACAGAACTATGAAGGTCTCAAGAGGAAGGTTTCACATACAACTCTATTATGACATGTCTGCATGAATGGTCGCCATCTGTGACTACTGTGACATGTCTGCATGAGTGGTCACCATCTGTGACTACTGTGACATGTCTGCATGAGTGGTCACCATCTGTGACTACTGTGACATGATGCATGAGTGGTCACCATCTGTGACTACTGTGACATGTCTGCATGAGTGGTCACCATCTGTGACTACTGTGACATGACTGCATGAGTGGTCACCATCTGTGACTACTGTGACATGTCTGCATGAGTGGTCACCATCTGTGACTACTGTGACATGTCTGCATGAGTGGTCACCATCTGTGACTACTGTGACATGTCTACATGAGTGGTCACCATCTGTGACTACTGTGACATGTCTGCATGAGTGGTCACCATCTGTGATTACTGTGACATGTCTGCATGAGTCGTCATCATCTGTGACTACTGTGACATGTCTGCATGAGTGGTCACCATCTGTGACTACTGTGACATGTCTGCATGAGTGGTCACCATCTGTGACTACTGTGACATGTCTGCATGAGTGGTCACCATCTGTGACTACTGTGACATGTCTGCATGAGTGGTCACCATCTGTGATTACTGTGACATGTCTGCATGAGTCGTCACCATCTGTGACTACTGTGACATGTCTGCATGAGTGTCACCATCTGTGACTACTGTGACATGTCTGCATGAGTGGTCACCATCTGTGACTACTGTGACATGTCTGCATGAGTGGTCACCATCTGTGACTACTGTGACATGTCTGCATGAGTGGTCACCATCTGTGACTACTGTGACATGTCTGCATGAGTGGTCACCATCTGTGACTACTGTGACATGTCTGCATGAGTGGTCACCATCTGTGACTACTGTGACATGTCTGCATGAGTGGTCACCATCTGTGACTACTGTGACATGTCTGCATGAGTGGTCACCATCTGTGACTACTGTGACATGTCTGCATGAGTGGTCACCATCTGTGACTACTGTGACATGTCTGCATGAGTGGTCACCATCTGTGACTACTGTGACATGTCTGCATGAGTGGTCACCATCTGTGACTACTGTGACATGTCTGCATGAGTGGTCACCATCTGTGATTACTGTGACATGTCTGCATGAGTCGTCATCATCTGTGACTACTGTGACATGTCTGCATGAGTGGTCACCATCTGTGACTACTGTGACATGTCTGCATGAGTGGTCACCATCTGTGACTACTGTGACATGTCTGCATGAGTGGTCACCATCTGAGACTACTGTGACATGTCTGCATGAGTGGTCACCATCTGTGACTACTGTGACATGTCTGCATGAGTGGTCACCATCTGTGACTACTGTGACATGTCTGCATGAGTGGTCACCATCTGTGATTACTGTGACATGTCTGCATGAGTCGTCATCATCTGTGACTACTGTGACATGTCTGCATGAGTGGTCACCATCTGTGACTACTGTGATATGTCTGCATGAGTGGTCACCATCTGTGACTACTGTGACATGTCTGCATGAGTGGTCACCATCTGTGACTACTGTGACATGTCTGCATGAGTGGTCACCATCTGTGACTACTGTGACATGTCTGCATGAGTGGTCAACATTTGTGACTACTGTGACATGTCTGCATAAGTGATCACCATCTGTGACTACTGTGACATGTCTGCATGAGTGGTCACCATCTGTGACTACTGTGACATGTATGCATGAGTGGTCACCATCTGACTACTGTGACATGTCTGCGTGAGTGGTCACCATCAGTGACAACTGTGACATGTCTGCATGAGTGGTCACCATCAGTGACAACTGTGACATGTCTGCATGAGTGATCACCATCTGTGACTACTGTGACATGTCTGCATGAGTGGTCACCATCTGTGACTACTGTGACATGTCTGCATGAGTGGTCACCATCTGTGACTACTGTGACATGTCGCATGAGTGGTCACCACGTGACTACTGTGACATGTCTGCATGAGTGGTCACCATCTGTGACTACTGTGACATGTCTGCATGAGTGGTCACCATCTGTGACTACTGTGACATGTCTGCATGAGTGGTCACCATCTGTGACTATTCTCTGCCTTCCCACAGCTAACGAAGGTATCATAGTACATATATTATTTATCATTCACCTCAAAGCTAAATATTTTATGAACTCAGGATAAAGCTTAGTGAACGTCTGTCAGTGAATGAACGGAAGAATGGATGGAGATTAAAATTGTTATCCTGGTGAACAGCAGGTCCAGCCTTGATGCACACATGCCACACGTCCTCACTCCCATATTTTCCTATAGAAACCATTTTACGTGCCTGGAATATGGCTGGAATCACCGTCAATTCTTCTGTTTATTCACACACACACACACACACACACACACCACATTCATATATATATTATATATATATATATATATATTATATATATATATATATATATATATATATATATATATATATATATATACAAATAACCCGCACATAAAAGAGAGAAGCTTACGACGACGTTTCGGTCCGACTTGGACCATTGACAAAGTCACACTAACCAGAGGTGGAGCAGGACGGCTATATATAGGCAGGAAGAGGTAGTGGTAGTAGTAGTAGTAGTAGTACAAGAATTGTGATGAATGGTTTGAAAAACAGACAAGATGAAGATTGAGACACTTATGCAGCATATGGGAATCTTTATTCAGGAAACGTTTCGCCACACAGTGGCTTCATCAGTCCAATACAAAGAGGAAGGCGTAAGGAGAGGAGGAGAATGAGGTAATCAGTCCCTCAACCTGGAGTCGATGTGTTCAGTCCATCAATCAAGATTGATGGACTGAACATATCGACTCCAGGTTGAGGGACTGATTACCTCATTCTCCTCCTCTCCTTACGCCTTCCTCTTTGTATTAAGAACATAAGAACATAAGAACGAAGGAACACTGCAGAAGGCCTACTGGCCCATGCGAGGCAGGTCCAAGTCTCCTACCGGCTTAAGCCAATGCACCCAACCTAGTCAGGTCAGGTCACATTGACTTAAGGGAGGAACACGGCAACCGACCTGTTAGCACAAGCTATCAGGTCTAACTCACACCCACCCACATCTACTCATGTATTTATCCAACCTATTTTTAAAGCTACACAACGTTCTGGCCTCTATAACGGTACTTGGGAGTTTGTTCCACTCATCCACAACTCTATTACCAAACCAGTACTTTCCTATATCCTTCCTGAATCTGAATTTTTCCAACTTAAAACCATTGCTGCGAGTCCTGTCTAGGCTAGATATTTTCAGCACACTATTTACATCCCCTTTATTTATTCCTGTCTTCCACTTATACACCTCAATCATATCCCCCCTAATTCTACGTCTTTCTAGAGAGTGCAGATTCAGGGCCCTTAGTCTATCCTCATAGGGAAGGTTTCTGATACATGGGATCATCTTTGTCATCCTCCTTTGTACATTTTCCAGAGAATTTATATCCATTCTGTAATACGGTGACCAAAACTGTGCAGCATAATCTAAATGAGGCCTAACCAAGGATGTATAGAGTTGAAGAACAACTGAGGACTCCTATTATTTATGCTTCTTGATATGAAGCCAAGGATTCTATTAGCTTTATTGCGAACACTTATGCACTGTTGTCTTGGTTTCAGATTACTGCTAACCAGAACTCCTAAATCTTTTTCGTAATCCGTAATATTAAGATCTACATTATTTAGTTTATATGTGGCATGGTTATTGTCCTGTCCAACATTTAGAACTTTGCATTTGTCTATATTAAACTGCATCTGCCACTTCTCCGACCACTGCATCAGTCTATTCAAATCTTCCTGGAGTGCTCGAATGTCCTCGTCAGAATGAATTCGACGGCCTATTTTGGTGTCATCGGCAAACTTGCCGATGTCGCTCTTTATGCCCTCATCTATGTCGTTTATGTAGATTGTGAACAGCAGGGGGCCCAACACTGACCCCTGTGGAACACCGCTCGTGACGCTTCCCCACTCTGATTTCTCCCCATTTATGCAAACTCTCTGCTGCCTATTTGTCAACCATGACTCTATCCAGGAAAAAATTTCTCCTCCTATTCCATGTGCTTTAATTTTCCTCAATAGTCTCTGATGTGGGACCCTGTCAAAAGCCTTACTGAAGTCCATATACACAATATCATATTCATTACCATGATCTACCTCCTCAAATACCTTAGTGAAAAAAGTTAATAAATTCGTAAGGCAGGAACGCCCCTTTGTAAAACCATGCTGAGATTCGTTGATTAATTTATGCTTTTCAAGGTGGCTACGAACTGCCTCGGCAATTATTGATTCCATAAATTTTCCCACTATGGAGGTTAGGCTTATTGGTCTATAGTTCGAAGCTAAGGACCTGTCACCTGTTTTGAAAATAGGTATCACATTTGCCATTTTCCACTTATCTGGCACCATGCCAGT